GTAGCGTACATTCCCTCCCCCTTTCCTCCCTCACACGATGTAATATAGAAAAACCTCCCTTTGTAGCATCGTCGAACTTCTACTCTAGATAAAACCTCACTATCGTTGCATAGGCCATCATAACCTCGCTGAGTAGAGAAATTGAGTTACATAAATCCATTAGGGGCTGATAACGTATGTCTAAGCATTTTTAATACGCAACCAATTGAGGGGTTGATGTATCACATCCCACTAGGGCCAATCGAATCCATAACATTCTCTCAATAGCAAAACAAACATGGGCTAATTGCATGTATAACGTATAATATATGCCTTTAATAAAACAACCTCACTCTGGGTCAACTATTACAAATTCTACATATAAGGGGAGAAAGAATTATTCTAGCATTTAGTGTTCATCTCAGGCGGGACAAACCCGGTGCATAAAATATTTCACGTTCATGCATGGTCCAGGGAAGGGCTGCATCCCAAGGCAGATGCAGATTCAAGATTTAAATTTTATGGGTTCAATTTTTAAGATTTTTAGCATTGAACTCCTCTTATTTTCAAAGTTATGAGTTCATATTCACTATTTTTTAGAATTTTAGTAAATTTTTACACATAAATTTATGTCCCGCTTCGAAACATATGAGTTGAATTGAATCCGTAGCTATAGTGCTAGATACACCACTGCCCGAAGGGGTATAATATAAAGAGTTTATTCTAATTAATACAAGCATTAGTGAATGCTTCCATGATTCGATTCATCTAAGAAAACAACACATATATAACAATTTTTATGGAAAATAATGGATAGCAACTCCACATGAGAGAAAATTGGCATTTAACGTTAAAGTTGGTCATAAGAAAAATTTCAAGCAAAAGGACTACTATTTTGTAATAATGGAGATGGGAGGGCTAATTGCGTGTGATAGCCGACACTCTTCCATGCTATCCTCTAAATGCTCGTCTCAAAACATAAGCCAAAAATCCTGTTTGAAAAATCTATGTCGAGGCTACATGAAAAGAGACCAAGTCCCCTTTTTATGAGTAGATGTAAAAAAAAGCATAGACTAAAGCGTAAAAGCAAGAGAGAAGAAGCCATTTTGTCCGTTGTCCCTCTCTCTTTCTCCATCAAAAGAGGAGTCAGTCATGGGCAAATGGAAAAATAGCTAATTTTGGTCCACGACTCCAGAGTCCAGACCATAAAAATCATAATTCTGTAAGCCAAAGGGCATTAAAAATCATTGCGCACGCCTGGTTTCGTAAAACGTGGCTACACCATGCTCAGAGAATTCCAGGCATTGGTGTGCCCATTCCGAATCATTACCTAACTTTTGTGTTGCAGTCATTGACTAATGGACTAATGGACTAATGACTAATCTCTGCTACCTTTTTCCATCTAGATAAGTCCCACTTGTTTTTTTAGATCAAACCCACATCAAGGTTGAAAATATACACTTGATTAAGCAGCCATTTTGGATTTCTTAGGCTTTTTTTTTGTAGCCATGTCCCTATGTTAGAGGTTCACCGTGTCAGTTGTCACACTTAAATGATAAAGCCAAACATCTCGTCTCCGTATAATTAGCGAACTTTGCATATAAGTTAATCTTTTTTGTCTAACAGTATCAATCATGTGCTAAATTAGGATAGCTGGCAGTAAACCTTTACATAGAAGTAGCAAAAACAAAAATGGCAAAATATAGACAAGTTTAACGAAAGGAAATTACTATAGAAGAAATTAAAAGAGGGGGTAAAATTCTAACCAGTTTAAACTAGCTTAGGGATGGGTTGTTAAGAGGCTGCTGATGACTTTAGGTATGAGTTATGTTACATCAAACATCATTGATTAGGTCCCACTCTCTAGCAAACCACTGATTTGCTAAAGGACGAGGACTCGATCTCAAGAATTACTAATTAACATCAGTTCCTGTTGAGTTTAATCAATAATGTTTAGTTGTTATATTGAAACTTCAATGATGACCTTATGGGCAATGTTAGCCCAGACAGTAAAAGCTAATATTAATTTAAACTTAGTGGAGAATTGATTGAGCGAGTATTTCGGCCTTCAATACCACATTGTACAATGAAGCCATCTACTTGAAAATTGAAGGAATACAGCGGTCCACGTGACTCACTTTCAATTATATATTCTCTCCGTCTCAAACTATCCATCGTGTTTGTATTTTACACGCATCTTAAGAAAATATTAAATAAGAGAATTTTTTTTACTGTTTTATCCTTATTTATGTCTTAAGATATAATCTCTTTTTATTTAATATTTAATCATAATTGAGGTATTTGTAGTTTTCAAGAATAATTAATATTAAGGATAAAATTGAGGGGGGAAAATAATCTTGAACTTCTAAAATTAAAAAATAATTTGAGAAATCTATTTTAGAAATAATTTGAACGGAGGGAGTAGTTTGACAAAGTCCGAATTGCAATGACCTTTTGAGCTTTGAATAGAGTGAGTTGTATTGGGAGCGGCTCTACTCCATCACATTTAGCTCCAGTAAGTGTCAATACACTTTTAGATGGATGACACGTGGATTTTGGTATGAGATTCCAGACAATTCAAGGAGTCAAGAACTGCAATTGTTTTAAGGCAATAATGTGCTTTGATTTATTCCAAAAATTTCTTATTGTCGAACTTTTTTTTTTGTCTACGTGGTTGAGGTTTTGATAAATTATTTCAAGAATATCATAGTATTACTTGTAAATGCTATATTACGGGGAAAAAAATTTGTGAAATGCTATATGATTGTTACTTTGAGTAGGACAAAACATGCACATAATGCACTGATTTTTTTTTTTACTTCGATATAAGTTCTATTTACTTTGAAACACCGTTCTCGAAATTATTGCTCTGAGTTTTTGTACCTTTGTTTGCAAATAAGTGTATGAAGTAAGCGTCATTTTTTAGGGTGCTGCGGTTCATTCCAGTTTATAGTACCAGTATAGATTATAACCAAAATAAAAAAGAGAATAGGTTAGAAAATAATCGTAGCCTTTCATATTTATAAGTCCACATGTAGTCCATCTAAAAATGTATTGACACTTACTGGAGCTAAATGTAATGGAGCAGAGCCACTCCCAGTTCGGGTCGAATAAATTATTATGTATATATACTTTGTATTTGTACGTATAAAAGATTTGATTATGAAAACACTAAGATTGTTTTATATCCCCTAAAAGTATAAAATTCGACTTAAGTTTGATCCTCATAATATTACTTCTGAAAAGGAAACATCAATCAAATGAGTGCGAAAAAAAAACACTTTTTATTTTCACTAACAAACTGAAAAAAGGACAGAAGTTTCATTGTTTATTTTCAAATAGCTTAATAGGATAAAAAATTAATTGTTACTTTACTGTTAAAGTGGGTAAAATTCAGTTACTTTTATCTGACAAATATAGTTTTGTGATTTTATTATTGTAGTGGGTAAGTTTATTTGTATTTTCCAGTAATATTTAGGAAGAATTGCCTAAGTTTAATAAATCGGTTGCCCAAAATTAAAGAATAATCAAGAAAAGAAGTGAAATCTCTTTCCATGAAGCTTCGTAAAGCCTTTGCCCTTTTCCTTGTCTTAATTTTTGCATGCTTGGCTTAAAAGGCAAACAGATTATTCTTTCTGTGAAAGAACTTAGCAGCAAGGGAACAGATTGAGGCGAGACAATAATGTCCTCGTGTGACTTCCATAATAGAGAGGAATGTCTTTACTCTTTTGGCCTAGATGCGATTGTTTTCGAAGTATATATTCTTTTTTTAATTTTATACTAAGCTATATATATATACATATATGTAGAGTTTATTTGCTATAAGATGTAACTAACATTTTAGTTGCTAAATAACTAAAATTCCTTTGCTCCCCCGATCCAATGGGATCCATTATTTTGTATGACAAAGCAAAGAGAGAAATTCCTTCTTGTTGCTAAATACCAGTTTTCTCAATTTGTTTTGAAAATTTTAACCTTGATTAGCTTGTGTAACTAGCACTTAACAACAAATGTTAATGCAACCAGCTTTAAACAATGAACTAGTTAGTTACAAGTGTATAAGAACTAGCAACATGCGTTTCTTACGAACTGTCATCTCATTCAATTATCAAACAGAATGAAATATTCACGCAGGTTTATCTTGCAGCCAGAGAATTAATTCTTAAACTAGTACTTCGCAATTTGGGCTATATTTTTTTCTCTCTGACAATCTAAAAAAGTTACATTCTTAATAACACATCCAAAATGGGAGGAAATCTAATACAAAAGATGCATTGTATTTAAATTTTCTATTGGTTTTCAATTTGGAAAACTAGTTCTGAATTTTCTCTCGGAAAAAATAGTTTTTTAATTACTTTTGGAAAACCTGGCAAAAGTTTTTGGATTTTATTTTTCAAACACAATGTTTTTTTCTGAAAACTAAAGAAGGAGAAATAGAGACGCAAGTTTCGCACGGGTTCCTTGGATGGAACACTCAAATCATCAAGTAAAAAGACCTTGAGTTGATTTTTGAAAGATTGAGTTGATATTTGAAAGAAAGTGTTTTGGAATTTGGCAGACTTTTGACAGAACTTTTTAAACCAAACACAACAAAATAAAAATAAAAAAGTTAGATGCCTCCCAAAATCCAAACGGCAACGTAACATTGGAAAACTGATTGTCAGTCTTGTGACAATATCCACCAACTACACGTAGGCAAGGAAAGGATATTGACTGCTTTAATTTATTAGAAATTTCGACAGGACAATAAGGAAGAGCGCTAGAAACTAGGGGATGTGCAGATTAGAAAATATGAACTCTATGTCAAAATTTTGCTTAACTTACCACTGCCGTGAATGGGATTTACTTCGAGTTAGGATTACCTGTCTTTAGAAAATGGTCAACTGAGTCAAAACTTTAGTGTGCTTATGCATCTAAAATTATGCTTAATGAAAATAAATAACTGAAAAAGAAGTTTAGCAATCCGATTCCTTTGAAAACATCTAAATTTTGAGTATACTATTTGAAACACAAAGTACTAATTAATGAAAAATACAAATACTATTTCTCTTACAGAACTCAACTTTCCTATACGGTTCAGTAAAGTAGTCCTGAACCAAAATCATTTCAACCATTCAACTGCTAATATATCTGGTCATTCGGATATGATTTGTTAAACTCTACATACGCCTCAAAGATTACTACAATCAGCAGTAACACCTGCTTGGAAATTATCCAGAATTGAGCATCTTTATTTCCCAACAAGTTTAGTTTACAACAAAGCAAGAAATATTAAAATTTCTGAAACCTTGAACTCTGAACTCCGCTTCTTCATTTCACAGGGAACTAATTCATCGTCTAATAATACTTCTTCAAGGATGGATCATCAAGAGGAATACAAAGATGTTACACCCATCTTTCACAGCAGAAGCTCGGTCAGCATATGTGACGAAGGTCAAAAAAATTGTATTTCTACAATAGGAGTGCAATTCTGTGCAAGAGGTATTCCTTTCACTTAAACTGCTGTTTGGCACTTGAAGCTGCAGATGGAAGTTCACATAGACAAAGGTAATTGTCTTACTCTCTTTCTTGCATGAGCCTGTCTTAAAATTCTCAAGCGAACTGGAAGGGAAATGGCAAGGCCTATGATGAGAAAGGAACTCCAGTAATGTTGCAAATAGAGGGTGAGATACGATGATACTATAAGCACAGCAAATAGCAAGGTGTAGAACACAGCAACAGCAACATCAGCCCTACACAATTTGAGACAATTACAAGTTTGTTACAGTAGTAAAAATGGCACAGATCTTCCATAACTGTTTAGAAGGTTATATGAACTTGTGGTACAAAGGTTACATCATGCAAATATTATTCTAATGACCAACAACTGAAGACAGAACTGAACGGGAAACGGACATGGAAATTCAGTAAGTGTGTGCAAGCAGACCTAGATCTTCTTGTTCGTCCAAGTTCGTCAATATATGAGAAGAAGAATACACCAAAAATTTTACAAGTTACAGATAATAGATGATTGGCAAATACTATACTACAAGTAGCACTCCGCCCATTTAAAAGTGCAATTCCCTGACATACCATTAAACAAGGAGAGAAGGAATTCCAACAACCCGGAGAAGTTTGAAACATTGAACAACATTAGGATACAGAATAATAAGGAATTAAAACAAGATAATAATCAGGTACAGAAAGCCAAAGGATGAGATATGACAATGACGAATATATACTACTGTGTTCGTCCCAATTTTATGACAATCTTCCCTTTTGCATCATCCAAAAATGTTTGATCCATTACGCTAATAGTATTGTTCTATACAACTTTCACAAATTTCAAAAAATTAAATTTATCAATGTAAAAAAGCTTGTTAACAACTTTTTTTGTTACTTCCACCACAGCCAATATATTACAAATGCCAAACAAACATTAACATTTTGCACCTAATTAAATAGTATCACATAAGAAAGAGTTGATTAACCAGGACGGATCAGACTAGAATGCTAAAGCATCAAGGAATTAGAGAATTTTTAGGTGTTTGTCAAGGAGTTTATAGGTGTTAAATGGGAGTCAGGCTTTAAGCAAATGATGATGCAATTTGAAAAGGGCCAGCAAGAAGATAGCAAACCAAAAGTATAAGAAAAATCATCTTAAAGACAGAATGATGGAGAAAAACAAGTGCATGAACTCCAGCCTGGAGAAGAAGAAATCAGAACTCCTAGAACAAATGGCAGTGCTGGATAGTATTCAGGAGCAGAGAGCTTTAAAGGAAGGTGAATTAATCCTGAAGGATGGTTTATATATAGAGGAGATTGCTAACTGAGGAGATAGCATGAAGACAGAGATAACGGGTGCTATGGCTAAAGAAGGATGAAAGAAACACTATCCAAAGAATGGTAAATGTTCATAGAAGAGCCAACACTATTGATAAGCTTAGAATAAATGGTGAGTCTGTGGAAGACCAAGGGGCTATTAAAAGGGAGATCTTATCCTTTTATCAGAAGTTATACGCAGAGACTGAAGATTGGAGACCTGAATTCTCCTTTGTGAGTGGTCCAAGGATTAATGAGGAAGAGGAGCAGTGGCTAGAACGACCTTTTGAAGAATTAGAGATACTAGATTTTATCAAGAGATGTGCAACAGACAAGGCACCTAGGACTGATGGTTATTCAATGAGTTTCTGTTATAGCTACTGGGAAACCATCAAGGATGATATTATGAAGATTCTGAAAAATCTCCTGACCAAAAGCTTCAATGCGACATATGCGGCTCTTAATACTAAAAAGCGTGGAGCCAAGGTACTGAGAGATTTTAGACCTATATAGGGATGTGTATAAGATCATCTCCAAATGGCATTCATCAAAGACAGGCAGATAATGGATGCGACATTGATAGCAAATGAGTGTGTGGATACCAGAGTTAAAGGGAGAAGTCCAGGGATTCTATGTAGATTGGATATCCTACAACCATGAAATTTGGGGCTTCCTGATCAGGGCATCTCCAACCCTCCCCCATTTCTCCATAATGGGGGCATTTTTTGCCATAATGGGGCTCCAATGCTCCCCCATTTTTGCCCCCAAAATGGGGGATGAATAGTGTTACCTCAAATATGGAGTGGCACTATTCATCTCCTTCATTACTATTCATCCTTATTTTATTATTATTTTTATTATTTAACTCTTTTAATTTATCTCTTTATATATACCTAATTATGTTTATGTAATATCTTTATAATATTAATTTTACATCTTAACTTTGGTGTATAATTTTGATAAATTAATTTTCGTACATTTATTATTTTTATGTAAAATTGTAAGTTAATTTTATGAAAATCACCGATTTGAGCAATATTTAGCTCGACACAAAAATTAAGGACAAAGATGCTCATTTTGCACTTCGTACTGCATTAATAGATCATTTATGGGAGCATACTAGAGATGGAAGTTGAATATTTATGTAATATTTAATATGAATTTTACCATAATGTAATATATATTTAATTATCTTGTATATCAATGATTTCACTTTTATTTGAATTATCCATTAATATATATAATCTATAATATTTGCTTACAAATTATATTATTTAAAAATTTATGGTATAAAATAATTTTATATTAAATTATATGTGATGAATATGTAAAAAAGAAAAAAAGATAGAATTTCTTTAATAGAAATAAGAAAATAAAATTTAAATAAAAATAATAATATAATATTGAAGAGAGAAGAATATAAAATGAAATATTCTTTTTTGGAGTAAAAAATGGAGTAATGGTTGGAGTAACTTTACTCCATTTTGGAGGAGAAAATTCTGGCAAGGGTTGGAGATGGCCTTAGCATGTCCTAAAAGAAGGAAAATAAAAGCCACCAGAAGACTGGCATTTCTTAATTTAGGTTCCACTGATTAGCAGTGAAAGATTCAATACCATCACAATAGAGTAAGTCTGGAGTGCATCCCCAGATGCAAAGTGGTTAGTCCCTGCTTCGTCAGCCTAAAGGAAGCTCAAAAGAAGGAGGAGCCTATTTCAAAGTTAAAGATCATGCTGTCTAATCGAGGATCCTTTATGGAAAGCTATATTGAGAATATCACTCTCACACATGTTAAATTAGACTTTCTTTCTAACGTCTGACACTAGCAACCTCCTAAAGGCAACCGGACATAGAAACGGACAATAGACGCCCTACGAATGGCTATGTAACCTAAGAGAGAGACAATCTTACAGCAGCATCTCAGAGAGAGACTCAAATGAATTAAACATATCCATGAAGCTGGGAAATATGTATTTATATCCAAGATTGGCTAGGGGAGACCATAAGCAAGGCATCATTGGATTGTGAAAACACTACTATTTGAAATTTTCAAGAGGAACCAATAATCCACCATGAGCATCAACGGAAGAGAAAAAGAAGGTTTAGAAAAGTATTAATATAGCTAAGCATTGTATATAGCACATCTCCTTGGGAGATCAACCTATAAAAGAGTCTCGCTATGCAGCACATAAAATTTTTATTGTCTGGTCACAAATGCAGAGAAAAGTCCAAGGAAATTCAAATTGAAGTGTTTCGATTATACGTCTGACCTAACAATGAAGGAAGGAAAGCAGCAACCTTCCCCCCTTTTTTTCTCAAATAATCGTTCTACTTTTTAATGAATGGTTCTAACTTTCAAGGTAGGAATTAACATTTGTAGAAAATATTATTAGGATGCTCCCTTAGCATCTAACATCAAACTTACTCAAGTCCTTAGACTCCCCAACCCCATAAAGAAAATGCAAGAGAAAAGGGGGAAAAAAACTAAACAAGACTTTTAATCACTTCAACCCCTGGAGAAAAAACTGGCAAGAACAAGGTCTTATTTTGTAGAATGCCTTAGCAATTTGCACCAAAGGTGACTTTGCGTCTAGCCAAAAACTTTTCGGATGGTGATTTTTTGGAAGTAGTGAGTCATGTCCATGGCCTTCGCAATTAGAGCTACTTACCTTGTGCCTCAGCAGAAACTTTTAGAATCATCATTTGTCTTAGTTAAATTATTTCAATCTAGTTGAATCACTTGAAATATCTGTAGTTAAAGTAGTTCCCCAAATTAAATTGGAAGTATCAGAAACATAATATAATGCACCCAACGGTGTAGCTTAACGGTCAATGAAGCAGGTGAAAGACCAAGGTTAAAATGACCAAAAACAATTCAGATAATTTCTTCTCAAAAGTTACCTGTACATGTGATAGTGGCTGATAGCAGGTACCCGGTGGCAATGCAAACAATTAAATACATCACAAAATCATATTTTTTTTCCAAATAACTCATGAATAAGCAAAATAAATTAAATAAATAAACATAAAAGTCTAAGCAGAAACATTTTTTTTCGTGCTAAAAGTGTTTAATTTGATGTCAATATGTGCAAAGATACGTACATACATTAACACAGACAAATGGAAACGTACCAGTTTGAGAGAAGAGGCTTAGGGGAAAAGAAAGAAAGAGGGGGGCACTTGTGTTGAGATCGGATCTGGTAATCTCTGAGCTGCTCCACCAGTTTAGACCTTGTTATCATGTTCCCCCCAAAACGACCGGACAATTTTCTCCGATCTCAATTTTTTTTTGTGTCCAAATCCAATTGCAAATTCAGAAGCAGAGAATTACATCTAGGTAGTGGTGGATTCGGAATTGAAGAGATCTCAAAGGAACACGACCCTCTGATGAAACTGCTACACTTGTCTACCGAAAGAAAAAGAAGAAAATGCTAAACTGAGAGGGATACGTATTAGCACATGGTATACCAATTGATAAAAAACAATTAAATGAGATAAAGATTAATAAATGTATAAAGGTATGCAATTAATTAATAAAAGACCAAAAAATGTACAAAAAATAACTGCCAGGAAAGAAAATTAAAATACTAATACATTCATATAACAATATACAAATGCACATTTGGTTGGTTGTATAAGGACAATCACTTTATATATAATTAAAAAATGTAATACCAAATTATTTAATGTCAAACAGAACGTAGAATAAGAATATATAGTAATATGGAGATTAAAATTTTAAATACCATTATTTATCATTTATTTTATTTTATTTTCATCTATCATTTATCATTTATTAATCACCATATAAAAGTTTGTTAGTCACGGTATAATAATATTTTAATTATTTTTAATACATAAACAATCCATGTACATTTGGGGTCACAACTTTAAAAAATTTATTAATTTTGAGAGATTATAGGAAAAAGGATAGAAAGAAAAAAGAACATGGCGTTGGGTGGGCTAGGCAGTGCATTTGGATTAACAGCACTAATTAGAGTTTCTGATACCAGTGGGAGGCATAGGTCATGTTGTTACAGCAGAGAATAATATAGGCGCCATTCACTCCAAATCTTCTTCTCCTTCTCAATCCCCCCTTCCTTCTTCTTCAATGTCTCATCACTCCTCTCTCTCTCTCTCTCATGAATGTACCCACCATCTTTATTACCATAAAAAAATGATCTGATACATGTCACGTCACTTTGTATCGGTATTATTGGATTAAAAACTACCAGCAATGTCATTGTTTTTCTCATTGAATTCTGCATGCATTGACATTGTCAGCGGATGGTTAGTCTCCTTTTGCTCAGCAATTCTGTTCCACTTGTTGCCATGTATTTATTTTCTCGAGATATCTTCATTTTATCATATGACCAACTCTCCGTAATTCCTTTTCCCAAAGTATCTTCTCTCAAATTGTTGGAATTCTAGCGTAAAATGTATCTATATCCTTATCATTCAGTGCTCCAGCATCAATTAGAAATTTTCATATGCGGTGTCACCATTAACCTTTTACATCACTTGGTGGTTCATTCATTTTGTGGATGACTTCTTTTCTCTAATCTATAATCATCTTGGAATCAATCATTGTATTCGGTTAGTACCCCCACATTCTTTTGATTTGACCGTACAAAAACTGACATCTCGATTTCATAGGTTTTCTTCCTCTTCTTTTTTATTTGTTTTGTAAGTTTCGGAGAGGGGAAAGAGCTCTGCATTTATCATTAGTGTTTGTACTTATTTTGAATTTTGATTCGGAATGTTCCAAATACTAAACATAATGCAGCAAAATTTTCCAGATAAGACTTCACATGCCTTCAAAGAAGTGGCCATAATTAGGCATCCGCGTCTTGGTGAGTATGCATTTGGCTTCATAACTTCAACTGTCATACTTCACAAGAATACAGGTGGAGAAGAACTCTGCTGTGTTTATGTCCCAACTAATCATCTCTACCTGGGAGATATATTTCTTGTGAATTCTAAGGATATTATGAGGCCTAATCTCTCTGTTCGAGAGGGGATAGGTAAGACTCTAAATTGGAAAATTTACAAACTAATTTTGCAATTTTCACCTTCATCTCTTCAAGTGATGTTACTATGTTTAACTTGCAAATGATGTAGAAATTGTCATATCCGGGGGCATGGCTGTACCAAAGATACTAAACAAACATACAGGAAGTGCAATCCATTTTATCTCCAAGAGTTGGAAAATTTGCAGTTCCACAAATTTGATTACTCATAATTTCGACGTCCATCCCTGAGAAACCGCGGAAAAGATGGCCGGACTTGTAGCTAATCATGGATAGAGGCTCTGAAAAGAATATATCCTCACTCTTTCTCCTCTGATCTTTATGATATTTAGGTACATTTATCTGATTTTTGTAAAACAACAGTAAACAAACAAGATTTTGTCAAATGAGTTCTAGTTGAATATTGAGTACGGTTCATTAAAAAAAATTTACGGTTCATCTCTGTAGAGAGCAATATTATGAGATCGAAAATCCATTGTCTTTTGTCTGCTACCATTAAAAGAATGCAAAGTTTGAAAACCATTTTAAATTTGTTTGGAAAGAATTAATGGGTCCAAAAGCTTGAGAATTGTATTCTAAGTATATTATTTCGTAGGAAACAAAATCAATCATCCGTTATCGTCCAGCGGTTAGGATATCTGGCTTTCACCCAGGAGACCCGGGTTCGATTCCCGGTAACGGAATTTATTTTTTCTGATAATATCCTTTTTACCTAAACTCACTTCCAGCACATACGGTTACTAATTTCAAGGTGAGAATACTGACAGTCAAATCTGAACCCTAAAATCCTAGTACATGTTTACGCCGATGGTACAAGATGTTAGAATTCGGAATTTTTGCTTCTAGTCTATGAAGAATTTCATCGCACTGACTACGTAAACCACCATAACCAAATTTAACAACTTAAACAGATAAAAAAAGAAAAAACATTAAAAACACGGAACTGCTAGTTTAGCACTCATATAAGTTCTGAATACCAATGACAAAGTAATTGTTAACATAACATGATTGGTGAAGTCAATAGCTTCTCAAGTAACAAAATTTTACAAAAAACTGGTGCTGTGAGCAAAACATAATTTAATACTTAGTACAAGTCCACCGACTTCAGCAGCACAAGTTTACAAAAATCTGCTGGTGTCGCCAAAATATAGTTCAACTTTTAGCACAAGGCAATGTAATCAGCTATTGACTAACAAAACATAGATCTAAAACCCCTAATTAACCGCATCAAATCTCTCATCAGCTGTTGAGGGTGGAAAGCACGCCTCCAGTTGCAGTTGGAATAACTACTTCCCAACCAGGTCCTTTGAGAGGAAGCACATTAACACATGATTCAGTGTTCCCATCCTCACTTGAAGGACCAACAACTAGATCACTACGGTCTAAAATCCTCTCCAGATCTTCATCTGTAACATCTGTCTGCACCAACTTGTCCTCCTCACTATCTTGATCTCTCATGAGAGCCAACAAGTCCTCCTCCTGAAACATCAAAGATCAATTAGAAAATCTTCATCTATTATTTTCTTCTACTCAGTGCCACAAACGATCAGATACATCTCAATATTGTAGCTTACATACCAAAAACCCCAGAAAAGAAGGGTTCAATGACAAAGGTAAAAGTGGGAACATGTTCAAACAAGTAATGAGAATGTTAACTAAAAATTACAATCAGCTGAAACCATCAAAACACCTGCAACAATTGCTACGCTATTCAAAACGTATAGGAAAGATAGCAACTCATTGACGCACTATAGAAGGAAAAGAGAATTTGCGACATAGAATGAAAAGTAGAAACTAGTAGAGGGGAAAATAACACTAACCTCCATAACATCCATGGAAGGTTTGCTTCTTTCTTGCTTAAATTGTCCTCTCCCGATTACCACCTGCTCAAGCTTCAACTTGCTAAAAGCTCTTTTGAGGATTCGACCCTGAAGCACAAACACTTTCTTTATCACAATGAGCAATAAAGAGATACAAACATAACTTTAGGAGTAGCCTGAATCATACCTCCACAGACAAAGCTGTGGAAAACCTGTAAACATGAACAGGTTTGGTCTGACCAATTCTATGGCACCGATCCATTGCCTGTAGATCCATTTGAGGATTCTGAAAAGGAAATGCATAGTGATCAGTCTAAATGGACATCAATTCACAAATGCTACAAAACATGGAAAAATAGTACAGCACAAAAAGAAATCAAAAATAAGAAAAAAGCAAATGTGATGCAATAACTATTGTTCTTTTTAAGAGAAGAGATTTTAAGCAGAGCAAACTTCAGTGAAGGCAGACACTACAACAGCTGAAGTGTGACATGATAATGCAAAGACATAGTAACAAAGGGATGAAACCATGCAAAAACCTTGGCAAAACAAATGAAAAGCATAAGGGGGCGTGAAGAAGATACCCAATCACTATCATATAAAATACAGGTATCGGCAGCAGTCAGATTGATACCAAGGCCACCAGCTCTAGTACTAAGAAGAAATATCCTGTACTTGCTGCTAACATCATTGAACTCCTTGATCTGTTCCATGAACAAGTAAATACAAACAGATCAACTTCATTAAAATTATTCCAGAAAACGAACTAGATCAGGTAACCTCCCTAAAGCCCATTCCAATAGCACATAGAATTACAACAAGAGTCTAAATTTTTTATAGGTAGTTCAAGTGAGAGACAGTAAACTAATGCAACATAGAGAATAGTCAATAAGAAAGATGTCACATCAAAACCAAAATACAGCATCATAGCACTACCTGATATCAATACACAACCAAAGAGATGGAAACTTTGTGATTAAATGAAAAATGATAAGGTCAGCAGGTGAGGTAAATCAGTAAGAAATAAAAAGACTTGCATATATTTTGTATTTGATAACAAGAGATTGTATCAACTTTGTAGAGAATAGACTATAGAGTGAACCAACTTAGAGTCCAAAAGCAAATACTGCATCAACAGAAATCAGTAATCCCAGGCGCTTCGTCTTGACGATAATGACAGTTTATTGGTCCATCAATAGGCTTATTCCTAGGGAGAAGTGAAGTTCCACACACAAGCAGAGTTACGAATACTAGAAGGTTATCAGCAGATCAATGGTAATAGCCAGATGTTCATAAACACTCTTGAAGATTATCCTAATCGAATGGCCATAACAGCACACAACTTTTGTGAGCAAGAAAAGTTAGATTGATAGAACAACTGAGACCAATTACCTGTCTTTTTCTTTCGTCCAATTTCACACTGCCATCAATCCTACAAACATCAAATCCTTTTTCACTAAAATAATAGTGCATTATGTCCAGTACTCTAGTCCACTGAGAGAATATCAGAACCTGTTGGCAGTTAACGAACTGAGGTTAAAAGTTTGAGCAAAGTAGGAAGACAGAAAAGCTCGAAGCACCAGACAGCTTCACATACCTTGTGCTTGCGAGCAAACAGTTTTGTTAACAGTCTGTCCAGCAAAATAAACTTGCCACATTGGTCAACTATTTGTTGCACAGGTGGATAAAGAGCTGTCAATAAAAGAACAAAAAAAGCTATTACCAACCAGCACATAATCAATATAATCAGTTCCACAGATCATCCATCACATACGAGAACCGTTGAAGAAGGACTCCAAGAGATCAGGATGGTTGCAATTCTTGCGAAGTTGAACCATCAAATTATTAAGCTTTCCTTTAAAACCATGCCCTGCAAAATTAGCCAGACGAGGCATTAGGACTGCAAACTCTAAAGGTACGGAAAAAAGGAATTCACTTCATTGGACAAAACCAAAAAAAGATATGCTCCAAAATAAATTGGAGATGCTATAGTGTGGTAAAAGAAAATCAGCATTTTATTATAACAGAAAATATAGCAGAGATAAACCAACTCAATTCCCCTCAGGATAAGATACATATTAACATTTTGTACTAGTACCAGTGGACACATTCTCTATAAAACCAAAAATCTAAAGAGATAAACCAACTCAATTTCAACAGAACCAGTTACATATTTATGATTGCAGTATTTCAGTGCACACATTATCGATCAAACTGAAAATCTAGAAGAGATCAATCAACTCATTTCCCACCAAATCAGATATGTATTTAAGATTGCACTAATTACCAGTGGACACATTCTCAATCAAATAGCCCTCCAGTGTCCTATTAATTAGGTGTTCCTGGAACTTTTTCTGGTATTCAGTCATGGTAGCATACAATATTATCTCCTTCTTACGAGGAAGCATTTGCTCAACATCCACTTTCATCCTCCGTAGAAGAAAAGGACGTAATATTGCATGGAGTTTGGCCACAACCTGCAATTACCACATTATTAAGATAAATACTTTAAGATGGAAAAGACATGGTATACTGGAAAACATTCACTAAACAGATGATAAATGTCTTAAACGGATAAGAAGAGGCTAGGCTATAACACTGGATAATATTCATACTTGTGCTCTCCTCTTTTCTTCCATTTCTTCCTTTTCTGATTCAATGGTGCACTTCCCCGACAGATCAAACCTGATATATAAAGAAACCTCATTACACTAAAACTCTTCCTGATTGACATTCACTTAGGTTTAACATAAAGGAAATTGGGGAGATAACTAATAGTGATAGACCCTACTTTGAGACTCTTATTACATGCACCTACATTCTGCTAGACTAAGTACAACACATCTTGCCCTTATGAACTCTGACAAGAATCGGCATAACTACTGTGATGTAAGTGACTAAATAAATGCAACTGCAGCACGTATTAGATTCCTATGAATAAACTATCACATAGAAGTCAGCTACCAGAAACTGATACACTTTATGCCAACAGAGCGATTAGAGGGCTATATGCACAGGATATCTATTTAAGGCTATGATAACTGTAGTAACCATTTCGCTGATATGATAAGATAGACAACCAAATAATTTTAAGGATGATGAAACAATGTGGCTTGCAAATTTAGCAAACTGTAACCACAGTATTGATTGAGCAGATAACTTGAAATCACATGTATATTTCTATTATAATAACACGCCTCAGCAGTCACAAGAAAACACTTTAACGAAAATAGTCAGAAATAATCAGCTGATTACCATGACTCAAATTCATCGTGGGAAGAGAATATGTCCGGTAAAATGAAGTTCAACAAGGACCACAGCTCAGCTAAGTTATTATGCAGAGGTGTTCCAGTTAAAAGGAGCTTGTTTTCAATGGGCAACAGCTTCAATTCTTTGAACAATTTGCATTTTGAGTTCTTTAACCTATGCCCCTTGGAAAGAAGAAAGCAATAGAATTTCAGCACAAAGTACAAAATGAGCTGCTTCCTAAATGAAAGAACCAAACCTGTAGACAGAAAATTTTACAAAACAATACTAGTTTACAAAGTAGACTGTCAACTGTAGGTACCTCATCCACCACAAGATATTTCCAACTGTAGTGCCTCAAGCACTTCCTTGCATCACTTAATGCAACTTCATAAGAAGTAATTACAATGGGAAATTTGGGACCTATGGTCCTCGGCATGTGCTTCATCCTTATCTCATCCCTCTGTTTCTTGTCACCGTGGTAGATGATTGCATTGATTGAGGGCACAAACCTTTTAATGGAAAAAAGAAAAAAAGAAAAAAAAAAGGTATGCCTTTAGTTGCACACAAATAACACAAGACAATTTCATCCCAGAAGGGAAGCAGCTCCACCAATACACAAACAGCACTGCCAGTTAATTGCAGAACAATGAAGATGTCAATGTACCTCTCTATCTCATTCAACCAATTTGAAAGCGTAGACAAAGGAGCAATGACCAAATAAGGGCCATCCAAACCATTCCCCTTCAAATGAGCAAGAAAAGCTATCGTTTGAATTGTCTTTCCAAGTCCCATTTGATCTGCTAGGATACCATTCAATCCATTTTGCCATAATGAGATCAACCACTTGACACCTTTCAGTTGATAAGATTTCAATTTCCCACCAGTCAACAAGGGCACAAGTTCGGCCTGCTCTCTTTCGACTCTCTCTTCCTCCGTGAGGGTTGAATCTTCATTTGAAACATCTTCTTTAGATCTTGTAAGCATGGCAGCAACAGCTCTCTTGGCTTTCCTCTGCGTAAGTATTTGAAACCATTTCAAAGAAATGAAGGCAACAAGCAGCTAGGTTGCAATTAAGCAAAGGAAATGACCTCCAAAAAACAAGATTCTCAACTTAAATTTCAGACATGAATAAAAGGGCAACAGAAATGTAAAGACCTACCGATGCATGCCATTCTGTTCAAAGCAATACTAATTTTATTTATTTAATTATTTTCATGATACAAAAACAATACTAAAAATCATCCAGTAAAAAAAATAACTCAATAGTGTTATGTCTGTATAAAATTGTTCAAACATTCTCAACTAATCAACTATAGTTCTAAGTCTGATGACATATTCAAGATATAGGTAAGGCTTCAGGAGGCAAGAAAAGGTTTACATTGTTGTAGCCTGTTGTCGCCTTCCGTTTCAAGCCACGGCCTCGTTTGTTTTCATTGACACTTTTCTCTTCACCTTCTATCTGATTTTGTTCATACAATAAGAATTAATGAACTTGATAAGCAAAAGAGCTTCTTGCAAATTATAATTCTTCCGAAAAATCAGGGAGATACCATTTTGATGTTATCCATATTCTCCAGCAGGAACTCTGAATAAAGTTGTGTCTGGGTAAGAAGCTCATCCAACTTGGTAAATTGAGTTTCATTCAAACTGGGCGCCTGGTTGAGGTCATTTAATTGTACCTCTTCCTCCTTTGCACATGCTTTCCTCAAAATTTCTTCCTCCATGGATTCAGGTATATGAGTGACATCCTCATTTTCTGCATCATAAACTACTTCCTCCAATTTAACAGCGGGCTCCTCTTTGCAGGTATCCTTCAAAATGAGAGCACACAATGTGATTCAGAAGAAAATACAGCAGATAGTTCTCCTTACACCAACGGTACACTTTCTAATTGGACCCTCAGAATGAGTCTTCAATACTTTTTCTTCAATTTGATGGGGTAATAAACATCCATCTAAAATCATAATAAACGAAAGACGGTACAAGGACAGCAATAAAGGTGAAAAAAATACAGGACAAGCTTAAATCCCCGTCAGGAAGGCGTTCCTGGATTCAGTAAATCTCCAAGCAGAAAGAACTGGTAAGTGAATTCAGCCTGTGAATCAAACACATAACTGAAAGCAAGAAAATGAGTATCTATTCACTTCAGAAACTTAAGAATGATCAGCACCCTGTAACTTTAAAGCTTCTAAAAGCTTAGTTTTACATCAGGACATTTGATACTAACAGTGATGACTAGTAGAGTAAATATCACATTAAAAAATTAATCTCACTTTGGAGTTCAGATCTGTGCTGCTTCACTAACTAATTTTTTGCTCAAGAAACCTCCTCTGGAGCTAACACGATACGACATTTCACCCAATGATTGAACGGTAGACTTACTATACTTCCTCATATATAGGAGCTAAAACAACAAAATACAGAGCCATAAATGTAAGGGACTGAAAATTAAAAGCCAAAATATCTTATAACCAATAATATCTACAAACTAAACTTCCAATCGCAACACCTGTAACCTTAAATGAAAGCGAGTAAGGACAACGGCAGTGAACAACAAAACTCAAACAAACATTAGAAAAATAATAAATAAAAATACGAAATGATAGATGAAGAAGAAAGAGAAAAACAAAAAAGCAGTACCTCATCTTCCAGAACGGAAACAGGAGAGTCCGAAGCTGTCTTGTCGTCGGCCACCATTTCACAGTCCAAACCCTAAGCTCCTATAAAACACCATGACACAAGCAAAAGCATTCCGATTAAACCAAAACGTAACCAAATCAAACGTCAGGCATATACGTCCTTACATTCCCTCAGAAAAGCGGACGAGAACGAAAATCAAATACAGTGACAAAATCATCAGAAAAATGCACCAAAAAATCTCCCCAAAAAGAAAAAAGAAATCCAAAAAGAGTTGAAGCAAACGAACATACTGGAATCAGTTTCTTCAGTGAACGGAAGAAAATGGGAAGCAATGGAGGAGACCAGAGAGAATGGGCTGTAACGGAAAAGGTGTACGGTATTTGCAGCAAAAAGGCAAATAATTTTCTACACTTTATTAAAATTAAATGGTCGTGCAGGAAGACAAAAAGGCGGGAAACTGATGTTATACGATTGCCCTAGGATGTTTGAAATAATATCCAGAAAGCCATCGGTGGTGTCGATGTGGATGTTGCGCATGTCTGTTCAAAAAGTTGTGCTCTTGCCCCAAAAATTCTGTCCCGTAATTCCCGTAAACAATAGTACTAGTAATTTAGTAGGTGTTTGGACTAACGTTTGGACATAAAAATTATAATTTTGAAAAAGAAAAGATATTTGACAAGTTGAAAAATAATACTATTTGTAAATTGTAATTATGTTTGGACAGATAATTCAATTGAAAAAATATTGTAGTTTTTTTTTGAATATTTTGAAAAAGTGATTTTGTGAAAAATATTCAAAAAATTACAAAATTTTATGATTAAATATATTTATTTATTTTAAATACAAAAAAAGGAAAAAAAAATTACGGGCAAACGGATGCTTAGGTACTCCGTATTTAAATTTTGCAGAGAGATAACACTAAGAAAGAAACTTTGGTATGCTTCCATGACCAAAGTAAGAAAGCTGGATTACCTAAGTTAGCACTCCTGGAGAACCATATTTTTACTTTGCATTATAGCATGTTAGGCAAGCTTTTTAAAAGGCTAAAAGTATTTTTTTTTTCCTAAAAGAACTTTTTTCCTAACTTCCAAGTGTTTGGCCAAGTATTTGGGGGGGGGGAAAAAGTATTTTGGGGAATAAGCAATTTATGAGAAGCAGAAAAAAATAGATTTTTCCCAAAAGCAGAATCAGAAGCAGCTTTGACTTTTCTTATTATCAAGAATATTCTTAATAAAATATAGTATATACCAAGATAACCGTTAATTACATTTTTGAAGCCATTTTTTTTTTGAATTAAATAAGTAACCAAAACTAACAGCGGAAATAATTACAATATATAATCTCCCAAGACTGGTAGTACTTAGTCACGAACTCTAACTGAATACATAGAATGATCACGAGAACCGAATATACAATACTGTTTGATTACAAGTTAACAGTACAATGAAATGAAAGGACTCCAAGGAACTGCGACGACCAAGCAGCTCTACCTTGAATCCTTAAGACCCCGCTTTAACTCTGCTCAAGTCTGTTATCCTCAATACCTGGCTCTGCACAAAAATGTGCAGAAGTGTAGAGTGAGCACACCACAGCGGTACCCAGTAAGTATCAAGACTATCCTCAATGGAGTAGAGACGAGGTACAGTCAAGACACTCACTAGTCTAATACCCTGTGCAATATAGCAGTATACAATAGTACTGGAAAATAACTAACAATGATAACAACAACTCAACCAGTGATATCACAACAAGGCAACATAATACTTAGGATATTAATGTATAAATATTTCTTATTAATTTTTGAAGAGTTTTTTAATATATAGTGACTTTAGAGATGAATGCTTTTATATTTTTTGAATGATTTTTAATATATTAACTTATATTAAAAGAATTAAGTATTTTTAAATTTTATTTTCATATTTTACTTAAATAAAATGAAAAGATTTAATTATTGCCTGTAATAAAAAAAAGATTATTTATTTACTTATAATATTAACTATTAAGTAAATCTATTCATGTCGTTATTCGTAATTTGATACTTAAAAGTTAAAAGCACTTTCTGAAAAGTTTTGACAAACACAAATTATTGTTTAAAAGTATTTTTCAAAGTGATTAGTCAAACACAAACTGCTTATCTCCGAAAGTACTTTTTTCAAAAACACTTTTCAAAATAAGATGATTTCTCCAGCTTGGCCAAACAGGCTATTACTCTGCTAAATTAATCTTTTCGTTTCAAAAAAATATGAATTGGTTTAGTGGACTTTTTGACATAAAAATTGTGAAATTCCGGGGAAAAAAAAGGTAAAAAAAAAAAAAAAAATCAAGTGAAAATGGTATTTAAAAAATTAGAATTGTGTTGGGACATAAATATAATTTGGAGTTGTTTTTGAATTTTTGTGAGTAATGCGAAATGAAAATTTTGAAAAACGACTTTTGGGAGTAATTAAAATTTTCGAAAAAATTCAAAATTCAACTTCAAGTAAATTTAAATTTTTCATGGTCAAACACTCATTCCGAAAAATTAAATTTTTTATGGCCAAACGGGACCTTAGACTTGGAGTACGAATGGGCAGATGTAGTACAATAGTATCGGTTCATTTAAATTTAGTATTAGTATTTTCGTCATGAAGAACAAATTTATGCGTAAAATTACAAGAAATAATAGCTATGAACTCATACTTTACAAAATATAATGGTTTCAACACTAATAACCCTAAAATTAAATTCAGAGTTAAAATTTTAAATCCATCTTTGATTCGATGATCGAGTGATTTTTAAAATTGCCTAGCTTTGTAACACTCTATTTGGTCTCAATTCATGACCAGAGTAAGAGATTTGGCTTGCTTAAGTTAGCACCCGTCAAGAGCCAATCATTATTCGAACTTGCATTACTATGCTAAATTACTCTTTTTGTGTCAAAAGAATACGAATGGATTTGGAGTAGGATGATCAAGTCTTGTCCTTCTTAGATTTTTCTAAATTAAAAATTTGATGTACTTTTAATACTATCGATTCAAATTTAAGCAATGAGCTCAACCACTCTCATTAAGGAAGAAAAAGAAAAAAGGAACGCACTGACTCATTTTACCATTTAGTTAGGCCTAAATTGTCTACAAACAAGTTCATTTAATTCATTGTCGATTTACAATCAATCAAAAAAGAACCAATAAGAAATGCATCCAAACCGGTACTTATCGTCTATCTTACTAAACTAAAAAACAATACCAATATTGAGTTTGCGAGTTAGGACGGAATACCCTAAAAACGGATAACAATTAAATTTGTTAGTGGTTTTAAGGATACGTGGGTTTATTCAATACAAACAGTAAAGATTGCTAGAAAAAATAGATAAGAGATATAATAGATTATCAAACCGCTTGAAAATAAGGAGGGATGATTTTGGACTCGAGGGCAGCCTCAATGAGGTATCCGGCTTCGATCTCTAGCTTATAATAATGAAACAGTGATAAACAAACGTAAGAGCTTTGAATAACATAAAAATAATAGTATATTGTCTTGGTATGCGTGTTACAATATCCTCGATAAATAATCAGACCCCCTTTATATAGTAGGGGAATCCTACTTTAGATACAATTCCATAAAAGGTAAAAAATCTTATGTTTAACTAATCATCGAATTTCCGCTGGTACGTGCCGAGATCCATGCTGTGATACACAGCCGGTCACTGATATCACGATCCCATGTTAATCATGTTCGGTTGCCCCATAATGCTCTCTAAAGTCTTTTAAGATTTTAACCGATACCACGGTCACGGCCCCGATATTCTCGAGGGCGGGCGTCGTGCCCCGGAACCTGTCTCGATGAGTCCCTTACCTCCATTTTGGCTCCTTATCATCACGTCCCTTACTCGAGTTATTTTATCAGAAATCAGGTCGTCTCATGGGTCTGGTTTCACCATATATAGATAGTCCTCTCGTTTCTCGGAGAATAAGTTTAACGGAAACGACGAGGAACGACATGAGTTCTTCGATCTCTTCTCCAACACGCTGCGACACAAAATGACAAAGAAACCAAAACGTCCCGTCAGCCGTGTCATAATGACCCCCAACGCGTGTCAGTCATCGGCAGGCCGCTCCTGGATGCGAAACAGCGCGAAGCCCCTATAAATACCTCTTCTTTCGTTCATTTTTTTTACTTTTGACCAAGCTTCTACCTTCATTCCTTCAAGATATCACTATCTTCCTTCATTCTTCAATATTCTTACCTTCGTTCTTCAAATTGCAACCTTTCTTTTACCCCTCACTTAAGCCAGTGTGCTTGATTTTCTTAGCAAGTTCTCACTCTTTATCTCCCCGTTCTACTTTATACCTTCAAACCTTTTTTCCAGATAAAAATGGCAAAGACTTCCAAGATCGTTCCCCAAAGGATGCTCCTTCTTCTACGCAGCCGACCACTGAGGTCGAGGAGACTGCCCCTGATGTGGTCGTCCTCGAGAGGTCCGCTCCGGACACGGCCACTGAAGAACCGGCAGCTGAGCCCCCCTTGAAAATGTTCGTCCCCGGGGGTGTTCGGTTAATGATGACTTCAAGGTCGAAAAGCCCTCTTCGGTTCAAGGCCGATGTAATGCGGTGTCACGGTACATCTGCTCCATTACTGAGGTCGTTCTTCACGTAGTCCGAAAGGACTACAACTGGGCGGATAAGGATATAGTGATTCCCGAGCCCAATGACGACATAACTACCCATGTTGAGGGATATCTGAGTGTTTACACTTATTCCTTTACATTTGGCCCGGTGGATCCGGTCATCTTGGACTTTTGCAGGAGGTACGACGTATGCCTCGGCCAAATCCACTCATCGATGTGGATGATTGTGATCCTCTTTCGATTCTTTGTGAATAAAATTGACTTATGTACGTTCACCATCGATCATCTACTCCGCTTGTACAACCCTCAAATGTTTCGGGGG